GCCTGGTTCATTTTAGGCATTGTATATAATGCCTGTTCCTAAAGAATGAAATGTTTGTATACTTGCTGCCTATTTAAAGGAAAAACTGAAAGTGAGTTCGGCCGTGAGAGAGCGCAAAACTAGACAGGACTTGTACCAACGGTTGTTCTTGATGCTGGTAGAAGGGGGTATTCTTACTTCGGGCCAGCTCAGTACAATGCACTTCCTTGTACACTAAAAGCACTGTCTTCAAAACATTTAAAACTCGCCTGAAGAATTTGTGATTAAATTTTCTTTCTGTTTCACAGTGTTAAGAATCTTTGTTTTAGTCGTGACTTGAGTCAATTTGTAAAAAAAGTATTGTTACTGAAATTTGCTCATGAATAAAGACCTTATTTATTTATTTACCTGTTTTTCTCATAAAATAGTGTACACACTAATGCGTTCCCTTAGCTCTAGACCCACACACTGCCTTGTTATACGGTGTAAGGAACAAAGTGCTGTCCAAGAACGACGCTCAGCTGGTGTTCGCTTATCACAGTAGTTCTCTCGGCGCGGGTTCCCTATTCCGCAGGGCGACTGTGGATTTTGTCTTCAACAACGGCTGGTTTCAGCCAGGGTGTAGCAAAAGTAAGTATTGGGCGCTAATTTAAATTATCATCTAACTAATCTGGTTTGTTACTTTTTCTGTCCAATTGAAAAGCCGGCCACGGCCAATATTATCATCAATGTGATTGACTATTAGCACAGACAATAGACCATTGATTGTGTCTACAGAAACCCGTACACATACTTTTACGGGAGTACGTTTTGACATAGAAACGCGCAATAAAACTATTCCCCCCTAAATCACATACGAATAATCCATTTAAAATACTTCGAACATGATCCAAGCACAGGTTGAACCAGAAATGAAGGTCACGGGTTCTGATCTTGACATTTTCTTATGTAAAGCTACCACATTGTACATTTTTAGAAAGGTCTTACTTAAAATTCCTTTCAAAATGGTAAATTTTCGGGATTTTTTGCATATTGACGTAATACCTTGTATTTACGAAACCGCAAAACATTTTTGTGTTCTGATTGGAAATTCGTAATCCTGGTGAACACAGCGTTGCAATTATGTGTCACATATAATAATTATTAAAATGAAAATATTTTGACATTTTATTTTTCTGTAATTTTGTTAGCCCTGTAAATAATTGGGTAAATAAGAAAAAAAACTTAAATTAAAGCATATGTCAAATAGCATATAATGTGAAGCGTCAAAAGAATTTAGATAATTGAGCTATGTTTTCAGTAACATGTTGCTCTAAGCGAGACTTTTCTAAAATGTACCACGTGATATAGATTGACGTAAGGAAATTTCGAGATTCGAACCCGTGAACTTCATTTCTGGAACACCCTGTGCTTGGCTCGTGTTCTAAATACATTAAATGGATTCTTCGTATGTGATTTAGGGGGGGATTGTTTTATTGCGCTTTTCTAGGTGAAAATGTACTCCCGTAAAAGTATGTGCACGGGTGGTCTGATTCACCCTGTATAGTTTGTGCTATTGGATACTGTAGTCATAGATTTTGTATACTGAAGTATACATTCCAACTGTATAGACCACATGTAGCAGATTGTAATAATAACAGAACGCAGTCGAATTATCCACTTTTAGACTGAGCTAGGACATGTATATAATATATATTTTTAAATACCTTCGTCGATTTAACGGGTGAAGATTCAAATACTCATAATACTTATTTGTGAAGAATATTAAATTAAATTCCAGGTTTGCAGACTCTATTGTGATTGGTTTGTTTTCCAAATAATTTTCGTCATCCTACGCACCATTAGGCTGGGCGTATGCTGAGACTCGTTTTGGAAGTCTGGTGTACATTTAACACAATTGAAACTCACCTATTGTTTTCTCTACATAATCATTACCTAACCTTTTATAGGTGACAACATATTTTGTAGTCATCGGAGGGCAGTGACGACATTCTGGTACGTGATTCTATACCCTGAGTTGTGGACAGCAAGGAAATGCAGTAACTATCTCCTTTTCATGACCTGCCTCTGCAGTTACGCGGACACAACTTCGCTCACATTTCCACCAACTCTCGGGTGAATAAACTACACTTTATATGCTAGAATGTAGTACAATATTATTTCATCTTTCAAATACCACTTTTGAACAAGAAGAACAAATGTAATTAAGGCACAAAGTGTGATAAGGCAAATGAGATAAAATGCGTTACTGCTGTTACTGATTCTTGACCTGTTACAGTGCAAGAGGAAAATATTTTCTGCACACTCTGAAACAAAAACCTTACGGGTTCGGGCCTTCTGGGGCTAATTGTTTCGCCATCAACGCGGAGAAGAAATCCAATGATATACTGAACAAAATATCAAGCTAACCACAACCAGGCTTTTCATCGTTCCAACGTTTTATGAGTGAATCCATTAAAATAATAAACTTCAAATGTAAGGTTTAATTTGCTATTAAATTGTAAATTGATAACCAAATGTTTTGTTTTATGTTGGTACCTATGTAAAAAGTAAAAATAAACTAAATTTAAATAAAATATTTGTAGCTCTTGCTACAGAAGTGGATGACCACTTTGTTTGTCAAACTATTTTAAAGTTGTACTATAACCAAATTCGTTTGTAACTCAATGTAGTTATATTGTTTTATCAATATGTGGTGTAGTTCTAAATATGCTACCATGAATATAAATGAAATTGGTTTCTGTTACTATTATTATTTAGACTTTTCAACGTTTAATATGTTTGAAACTACCCAACGTTTCTGGAGGTGGATCAACTCCTCCCGTTTTCAACTGTAATTACTAATTACTACATTAGTCTCAGTTAGCCATCAAAAGGTAAGCCGGTAAAGCGTAAACTTAACAATAACATAGTTTAACGATATACAGTTAAAACTTGGTTTTTGTGGACGTATTTTTGTTATTATTTGTTTTTTGTCATTTGACCAAATTTAAAACTTTTTCAATAACAACTATTAGTCAAGCAAACTATTAGGTAGACCTTGCTTTGCCTCTGGTAATATAAACTATTAAAGCAATAAAAGTAATACAATCCAATTTAAAATAATAAGAGAAAAACACTTACAGTATCCAAAAATCAGCAATCAACGTTCCTAATATAGACAGTGGAAATAAATTTTAATTCTATTTGTCTATGCTAATCTGGAACACAGATCTTACAACGGAAGAAAAGTTACTTGAAACATTTCTTCAGAGGGAGATAACAACCACTCCCAATAATAATACCAATAATAACTTCAATACCATAAAAGATAGATACTGTAGTTACAAAGATCTGAAGATAATGAATAAGTCAGAATAACGTCAGAATACTTGTATGACGAATCATAGAAGCAAGACTTATGTTTAAAACATACTTGGCAAATAAAGCAATACGATTTGCAGTGTTTAAAACACCCCTAAAATACAAATTCTTAAGAAACTATGTTCCATTTACATACTCATATAAATCAATTCATAAAACATATAACTATTAAAGTTGATGCTTGACTCTTTAATCTAGCTTGGGCCCGTTAGAAAATCGATTTTTTCGTTGAAATGCGCAATCAATTGTGTGAATTATAATTACAACTGATCCGGTAAGTTAACTAAAATATACAAACTTTATATGATTTTGAACTAACTTTGTGGAGAAGATTATATTTATTACTAGCAGAGTACCCGTCCTTCGTACGGGGTTGGCATATAAGTATAAAATGCTTATTGCAGTTATGGGTGAGGACATGGTTTAAGAAAGTTTGGTTCTTTTGCTCTACCACTGCCCCTGAACCATAGAAAAAAGTAGAGGTCTAATTGTGTAATGCATGTGTTAAATGCAAAAAAATAATAGGGCTGCACCCTATAGGCAAACCGTATAACCTGTTAATGCTATTTAATTTCATAGAACTAACTTGTGCAGTCGAAACAGCTGACAAAATTCTTTAATTCCTTTTGGATATATTTTTATCAAATTTGGCAAATTGATTTATCCTATACTAATTTTCCTAAAATCACACTTCGTAACCCTCCCTGTAGCAGCATAACCTACATACTCGTTAAACCTAATGTTATTGAATTAGATTTAATTGAAAATAGGCTGCAGGTGTGCTGCGGTGGGGGTATTATGGAATTGTAATTGATGTAGAAAGAAGACTTTGTGGTAGTACATGATTAACTCTAAGTTATATAAGATACTAAAAAAATCAATCCCGTCGGTCCCAATTAGTAGCGTCGGTCGCTTAAAAATTTGACTGGCGCTACTGCAACAGCGCTACTATTCGTATTCGCTAGCAGCTATGTGCCTTGCTACGGGGTCAGTATGCAAACGAGTTAATGCTGGTTCTTTGAAAATGCCAAATGGTTTCACTCCTTAACATTTATTTTAGAAACTAAATTGAACTGTATTAGCCTACTTAACTTGATAATAGTAATAGGTCTAGTACTTTTTTGTTAACTCATACTGTGAATACTTATTTAGGCTACCTAGGATACAAAACCAATGATATATTTTAAGGTATAATAAAAGAATCTGTTTAATGGTTTGGACTGTAAACGAAAAGCTATCACAATAGTTCCAAACCTGTCAATAGTGTAGTTTTCTAACATATTTTAGGGAAATGACAATCAGGCAAATGGAAATTCGCTTAGTCTATAGGTTTGCTGCAGCAGGGATATTAAATTACTGTTTACACAAAAATAAATCTAAAACATAATTCTCATAAAACTCAGGATAAGGGCCTAGGTTGATACGGCAATGATTGTAGAATCTTAATTATATCCTATATCTTTGAATAATTTCTTTTTACAATGACATATTCACTATAAAATATTATTACAGCATATCACAAATATTAGAACAGACTCAGTATAATTGAGTATAAACATAAACAAATTATGTAACTGAAAGAATCCTATTATAATGAAATGACATTAACATATGGTTTGACAGCTCCATTTTAGTACCTAATGTAAAATAATGTTTACATTCAGGCTAGTGACGTCATTATTTTAAATATGATCCCTACCCTCTCTGTTCTAATATTCGTGCAGTATTTAAATAAATGTTTGAACCAGCTGTGTGGAATTGTGAAATCGAAATTCATTTGACAGTTAGTTCTGCTTGTTTACATTTTCAAACTTTGTAGGTTTGTTCTTTGTTACCATGGATACCATCAATCAATATTTACTTTTAAATCTCTCACCTCAAATTTTTGAAAGCCCACGGGGCAGAGCCCTAAGACAATATCGAAGCGGGAATAGTTCTATATGTATCCTCAGAGCTGTAGCTTCATTTGTGTGCAATTTGAGCCCAGTAGGTTCAGTAGTTTTTGAGATTATCTCATACAAACACACACACACACACACACACAGACACCACCTCTTCTTTATAATAGTAAATAGATAGATAGATTGTTATGTTACCCTACTAATACAGTAGTTTAAAGTTGCATTTTACCACTGGAAGTCGTTTTGAGAGGTTATCTTTACATACAAATTATTTCATTTTCTAGCTTAGTTAGATAGTTAATGATGAAATATGACGAAAAATATAGTTCACCACACGGGCAAAAAGTGACTTTTTAACCCTCGCTCATTTTCCGACCTCGGCTTCGCCTCGATCGTAAAACTTGAAAAGAGTCACTTTAGGCCCTAGTGATGAAATATACTATTAAATATCAACAGTTCAATAATACACGGTCATTCATGCCTTGTGAAACAATGGATATAAAAAAATATTTTATTCTTTTTTTCGCATGGGTTGGTGCCTACGATTGACTAAAAGTATATGTGGGTTAGTTTGAAATGTTTTTTATCATGGCTTCGGATTTCTTCCTCTTGCTGAAAGAGAAACAGTTGGCACTTGAAGGTCCGAATCCATAAGGTTTCTGAGCCATTGTGTTCAAGTAATAAGTCCCTTTTGCACTGAAACAGGTCCATATTAGTCAGTTAGGGGGAAAAGTGTAAATTAATTTTCCTTACCACGCTGATTGATACTCTTTTGCGAATTTATTGATTGAAAAAGTAGTATTTTGAGAGGTATTATCAAAACTTAATGCAATGAAAGTAGTTTTATCACAATGTATGACCTTCTAGACAGAACACCTCAAACTTTAATTAAACTCAAAATTGTAAACTTCCTATCAAATAAAACACAAAATTAACGCTAAACAGGTTTGAGCAAATAGACCTAAGCCTCAAAATCATAAATGGATAGCTAAATTTTAACTCAAAACGGTTCAATATAAGCCCAATAATGTCTGGTAAAACGTTACACCATTGCTTCAGGTTTGGTGGTGAAGCACAATACAAGTTGAAAAATTGTATAAAATTGGTATACAATCCTAATATAGGCCAGAGCAAGAACCATTTAGTTACGGAAGTATTTTGCGATTGGCCCCTACTCAATTTTCAAAGAAATTAGAAAATTAGATAAGTAACATATCAGTTGTATTGTAATTTACCCTAGGGCTGGTGGGAATGTTAGGGAAGTCTTGGACCCAAAACTGCAGAGACAGGACTTGAACAAGAAGAAGCTACTACACTTTCTTGCTGTCCATAACTCAGGGTATAGAATTACATACCAGAAAAGCGTTACAACCCTCCGATGGCTACACAATCTCTTCCCACCTGTAACAGAGTATAACAATATTATGTAGAAAAGCAATAGTTCAGTTTTAATTGTGGCTTGTAATATAGCTGCAAAATCGCTACTGCATTTACAACGGCTCAGGCCAGACGAAATGGGAGTTTGGTTTATTCAAAGAAAAATCGTGTTATTTTTATCTATTTATAATTTGATATTTCTTTAGTAATAGTAGGAATAAGTCAGAAATTCTTTAGTAATAGGTTATTAAGGAATAATTCTTGGATAAGAGAGGTTTAGAGATGAGAAAATAAAACATGATGAGTTACAAAGGACGTTGAGACGTTTGGAAAGGTAGCTAGGAAAATAGAAAAAACCAGGGGTACATACAGGCTTTTGAATTGAAAAAAAGAAACCAACAAAAACTAAGAAAGAAAAGGAATGAAAACTTGCCCATGAAGGGACAGGATAGAGCTGAGCGAATTTCAATGATCCATATCGCTCAAGGCGGTAGTATTGAGTATTTACATAATCTTTGAGTCGAATATCGAAGTCATAAGAAATTATGACTTTTATTCGTTTTAAAATAACGCCTGTAATTGCTCGAATTCGAGCAACAGGTACACTAGTTGTAATAAATTGTATGCAGTATTTCATAAGATATCCATAATAATTTTAAAGACATCGAGTTTACATTTTTTACACACAATGATGGTTGATACATAATTCGGAAAAAATATTCTTTATTTTCGTATTATTTCAACTCATAAACCTTTTTATATTTTCTTTGTACCTACGTGACACCCTGTAGTATGTAGTAAATACCCCCGCCGCAGCAAACCTGCAGACTAAGCGAGTTTCAACTTGTCTGATTACATTTTTACTAAAATATTTCAATAAATAAGACATATTATTCCCTATTTAAATAACATTAGATTTAACAAGTGCTTAGGTTTGCTGCTACGAGGAAGGTAAAAAGTGTTTTTTGACCATACATGAATAGTATCTGGGATGAAATAAATAAATTGGCCAAATTTTATCAATATATACCCATAAACAAGTAAACTACAATAATTTTCATTTTCTCCATAAGAATAACATGGGAATTTTTAATTACACTATTTTTGATTTTTCTCCGTGACCGTTAGGCATACAACAGCGCTTCAATATACTAAATTATTTCTTTTTTTAAGCTCTACAAAACGTTTTAGAAAGAAATCGCAAAATGTTTTGTTTTTAGGTTCAAAAATGGGAAAAACCCATTTTTACCCCATAAAACCCCCCATAATCCCCCGTTCCCATGGTCCGATTATGCTGGATCGCGAACTCGTTCGAATAAACGTAGGTTTACACTTTTGTACCAAATTTCATCAAAATCGGATCATTTTTGCTCGAGTTATCGCGCTAACGGACATATATATATATATATATATATATATATATATATACATATATATCTAAATATATATATATATGAATTTGAACGGATTGTGTTTTTGGCCTCAAGGGACCTCAAAATGAAAAATTAGATCGGTCTCGGGTCCAGGTCTTACCATGAGTACTACGGTAATAGCTTATATTCCCTATATGGGAAATTCGCTAAAACGAACAATGCAAACTAGAGGTCTTTATCTTAACACAGTAAAATATGGCAGCCAATTGAATATAAAATCGCACGTTTATTCTGATGTATAAAGATTTCAATCAGCTGCAATCTTTTACTGTCACTGCCGTTATCTGTCACTCGATGGGTCTTACCGTTTAAAATTTTTGAGTTTCCCCCAAAATCCCCCATTTTGGGGATGTACGCCAATTAGCGGTTATGCCCAAAAAGTACTTTATAACCTGCCATAAAGGTGTGCCGAGTTTAGCTTTTCTAGTATGGGCCGTAAAAAAATTAACAGGGGGTCTCCGGACTTTTTACTAACAAAGTGTAATGAGGAATGAGTAAGTGTATTATAGGTGTAAATTATAGACTATCCAAAAGTGAATGCTAGTACTTACTATAGTAGCAGCCAGGCTGAAACCATCCATTGTTGATGTTGAAATCAGCTGTTGCCTTGCGAAAAAGAGTTCCGCCGACAAGTGAGTTGGTGTGATAGACGAACACCAGTTCGGCATCCTCCTCAGAAAGCACTTTGTTCTGAATACCGAAGAAAAACGCCGAGTTTGGGTCTAAGGCTGAGAGAAACAATTAATTTGTTTAAAATGTGTAGCGAGATTTTACTTAAAATTGTTATCATTGAAGTTTAAATATGGTAAGATTATGATTAAAAATTATGACAAAATTGAAATTGTTTTGATATTACGTACAAAGCATACCATGTCTCTTAACTAATGTGATTGAATACTTTTTTAATGCTAGATTTGTAAACAAAGATGTAATGCAAACATGTCTTTTTAAATTATATACAATCTTGAAATCAAAATCGCTTAATTTCTTTATTACTATAAGAATCGCATATATAATTGTGTTTCTCATAAAATGATTAAACATATAGAAATAATTTTAAACTTTGCTTATGCTGTTTTTAAGCTCCAATGCAAATACCCTTATGCATTAATCCTTCTGAGTTAAGCAGAGTAAAGCAGTTTTTTTCCAATGGACCTTTTTTTCAAACTCACCTGTTATGGATTTTATCTTCTTTCCGTCGTTTTTTGACGAAATGTAGCGACTTATGTAGCCTGTGAGCTGGCCAGAGAAGCAGAAACCGATGAGATGTATTTTGTCGAGTTCTAATAGTTTGTCGGCAATCGCAGAGTTGAAAAAGTTACCAATGATTTCACTTAAATCCTGTAAACATTAAAGATTGTACTATATAGTCTATTTACTGCGTGATTTCAAACTTAGACAAAAGTAGAACAGAATACACACTTGGAGCAAGAAACTATCAATGCTCGGTTTTGGATAAGTATTTTACTGTAATTATATTTTGATAAGAATATACTAGTACATTGTTACTTCGATTGTATACGTAGCCACTGTCTATATAAGTGAAAATGTCGTTTTTCAAATCAAAAGGGTATCATTATAGTTCAGGACATTAACAAATCTAATTGTATTTCCTAATTTATCAACTAAATTAATTCTATGGTGAAGTGGACACACAATTAAGTTAGTGTTGGGTGAAACAATATCTAAACCAGATGTTTGTGTCATAACTCATCTACAAATAGTCTGTCACAATAGAATGTATATTGTGATTGTTTGCAAGCCCTTCATGATATATCTGAATTGTGACACATTTTAAAACTACTTAAGCAGTATAAAGTACGTAATACTTACATCATAGTTAGCCCTCTTGCCATACAATCCTTTCATGACAGTTTGCTCCATATAATCCTGCAGTTCTGCCATGTTGAATGCAAAAATGTTATATTTCTTCAAGAAATTTCTCAATGCCATAGCTGAAACATCATATGTAAGAAGCATTTTAGTTTGTAAAATATATTATCTTACTTTCAATGATTATGATAGGAATATCTGAACAATACAGTGGGGTCTTGTATAAATATTTTATATTGTACTTCATGAAACTACTATCTTAATAAAGGTTCTCTAGAGGAAGTTGTATTAGAAACCTATCTTGTTTTGTTAGATAAACTTAGAGGTATGAACGAGTGTTCTTAATTATTATCCTATGAATTATTAGCAGTTATTACTTAATCAATTCTAAACCGAATTTACAGCTATGGATTATAAAGAGATCCTCAATTGACAAGTTATCATGTGTAGGTAGTGAGCTTTGTAAGAACATCCAAATATAATGTTCCAAACGCATACCGAGTTCCTTGATTGTGTTACCGATCTTATTTGATTGAAGAATCAACCTGGAACCTGGTTTTTGATAAAAATGAAAACAATTAGTAAAGTGTCCTAGAAATTATTCCAAAGTCATACCTATAATTGAGTTTTTTACAAAGTTGTCCTTAGCAGAACCACCAACAGTGTGGAAGACAAAGATAGACTCTTGTTTTTTTGGAGCCATTTTCTTCTTTCAACAGATCCTTTGCTTTTGCTAACGGGCTAGTGTGATACTTGACGATTGTCTCTTGATTAAGTAATATTTTTAATGCGTCTGTTGCTTTGCCAGGATATCTTGGGATAACATCATCACTCTGAATTGCCTCTGTTCCGTCTGGCACCCATTGTTTGCTGCAATATTGTAAAAGTTTAAATGTAATGTTACATTTTTTCTTGCTAAAACATTACCAGTAAGAATGTTATAGCTTAAATGAATACGTTAGAGTAAGAATGAAAAACATTATAGCTTTTTCCACTTATAATCCCACCAACGTCATTGCGGGAGCAGTTTAGTCAAGCCCAATAAAATAACAATTCAAGCACGGGTGACCCACATAGAAATGTTACCTTGGACCGATATTAAGAACTTATTAAAACAATGAAAACAATTCAAATGCAAAATTCAACCGTCTTTGGAAAAAGATTGGTTTTCACCTGATAAGCTGTTTCCAAAATGGAAGATTTTATGCTCGGTTCAATATGTTTGTGGTTTGAAGGGAAGTTCTTCCGCTTTTTTTGTACCTAATGTATGTTGCTTAATCAGCTGTTGCGCTATTATTTTAAAGATAAGGATAGAGTGGAGGGGGTGGATTTCTTCCCCTAAAACCACCTAAATGATTTTACTGACAAAAATAATTAAATATAGACCGACAGCCGTGCTGCAATTAGCATAGGTTCTGGCGTCCACCGCTGGGATCACCGTGTAGTTAAGTGGTGCCTACGCCGTAACTACACGGTGCTCCCAAAGGTGGACGCCACATCCTACGCCAACCACAGCACAGCTGTCGGTCTATGTTTAATTCGTTTTGTCTATGATATTGTGAACGAAGTAAGTTATAGTATTGGTGGTTTAAGATAGTTCAATCGACGAGTATCTAGACAGTAAAAAAACTATAGATCACCATAGTGTACACATTACGTTAACTTATGCTGTTCTTGCAACTAAAAAACGACAGCAGTAAAGTAAAATACTATATTTACAATACTATAAACAAATTTTATCCTCGCTTACGTCCAAAATATATTAATTAAAAATTTTGAATCGTTTCGATATTAAAAATTTTATTAAATTATTTCTTTTGGGTTTTACCTTTAACTATTAAAACAAGTAGACATTCCATCCCCATGTTCGAGTTGTCACCGGTTTTAATCAAAGTCGTCGTAGTTGATATTAGCCACCGACAGATTGTGTTGATTTAAATTACTAACTTCTATCAAATACACGAACTTTTTTACCAAGTCAAATGACTTATTGTGAGCTAAAGTAACTGTTATGATCTATCAACTTGGTCAGCAAAAATTATAAGCTTTAAAATACAATTTTAAACACTAACTCTGTGACTGGCTCACACAGCTATGTTTTTTTTGTAATTGGTGACAGCTGGTCCATATAGATGGGATGTCTACTTCAGTGTTCAATTAATGGTTTTACTGAAAAAAATCTCATTTTCTTGATAATACAAAAGAAAATCAACAAGCGTTACACACATAAATAGTTACCAATGCTTACTCAACAAGGTGTAATTCAATTTTAGATTCGATCTCTCCTTTTGGCAAACTCTCTGTATTCGGGAGAAAGTTCTTCCATTTATAAACTTTCCCATAGGAGTCTTGCAAATGAACTGAAAAAGAAAAAAACCTGAAGTATGGTCTGAAGCATTTAGACTCAATAATAATGTGTAGGTAATCTTGGAACTAGTGAACTAGTGTTAACTGTGTCTTGTAATGCTACTACCGTCATATTTAGCGACTCACTACTTTTTTATTTGGGACAATTTAATACGTACCAAAAAATACCTTACTAATGAAAATAGTAAGATACATTGGATCAAAATGTAATTTAAAATTGATTCCTTTCAGAATTATCACTACTGTCTCTTACGTTGAATACTCAATATTTAAAATCCTAGAAAACACCAGAAATAATTAAAAATAGATTATCATTTCAAACGGTACAGTAAATAAACTATCCATAAAGATTTTAATTTAGTTCTTTAATAAATTAGTACATTATTTATACAGCCTACATAATTGCAAAATTATAAGTACTTACTTAGAGTAAATAGTAGGAGAATATTTTTCATTTTCTAAGATGTATATCTACTCAAAAACTTTTGCAACACTGCCTACATCGAAATGAATAAAACTAAGCAAATTGAGTTCTTGCCTGGAACGAGTAACTTGTACTAACATATGTTAGTTTTAATGGCGCGCAGTTGTTATTTACTATTCAATAATAGCAATAACTCAAAGGTGAAATATAATTTTTCACACTGCAGCAAAACCCGCCGTTTTAATACATGCATTGAGGGTCTCAAAAAAATCTTTTACTCCCAGGGAGTAAAAAGCCTTTTTAGTCCCTAAGTAGTAAGCTGTAAACTCAGTTGAAAACCTCGGTCGTAAGCAGTCACATGTATCGAAATTGTGTATCGATTGGCTGAATCGGTTGTAGCATGGATAAATCTTACTTCTCATCCTTATGGAACAGCTGAAGCCAATTGTACAGTATTGTTAGTTCTGTCCGGTGCTCTGTAGAGGTCTTGTTTTGTTTATGTCATTGAAACTCAGTTAAACCAAATAATACGTTGTAATCATAAACAATAACTTTAAAGTTTTTTAACCGATCTTTATGAAACTTGGCATGTATATTGTTAAAGAGACCTATGTTTGGGGAAAAATACGTTGGTTCAATTTGAAATTTTAAAATAAATGACATTTTTTCAATAAATAATTTTTGTAATTTAAGTTATAAAAATTCAAACGTCCGCCATTTTAAAATTTCAAATTTAACCAACCTATTTTTCTCCCTAACGGCCTCTTTAACTGAAATATACATACCAAGTTTCATAAAGATCGGTTGAAAAATTTCAAAGATAACAATGTTTATGTACATTAAAAAAATGCAGATATCTGGAGAAACATGAATTTTCGGATATACCTTCACACAAACTTTCTTTCTTTCTTTTGGTATGAGAATCCATACCCCTAGGTCCTGAAATGTTTTTTATGGACACCCTGTATATTTAGTAAAAACTAGATTGCCACGAAACTTGTTATCTAGATGTTTTTCGCGTAAAATATCTGAATTTGCCCTTGGATTTAGGACGGGCTCACAGCTATAAATTATGTTTCACCTGTCAGCTAGTCAGTTATTACAGTTATTAAGTCATCCAAAACAGCAACTGTGCTTCAACACACATCACTCACACATAACATCAGTTTAGTTTTTCTTTTTGAAATGACAGCAACGTTCTAGTGGGTTTAGAATACATTCTGTTGAAAAATGAAACCGATTTTGCTATTTTTGATTTTTGGTAAGTACTTTTATATACATAATGAGTTTTAAATGAATTCCCCCCTATTTTTTCTACATTTCTTAAGATATCAACTCCGGACCACGTCAGATCATTGTAGAGTAGTAAGAAACTCATTTTGAATGGTATAAATATTCAACCGCCATCTTGGATCCGCCATATTGGATACAAAGTTTATTCAAAGGTAAAGGTAGGGTTGTGACCCATCATTTCAAATTAGAATTATACGCAGAGTACAATGCCGCAATCCGTTTTTCAAAATATTGATCCGTTGAAAGGTTATTACGAATTTTCAAAAATTAATTTTTGAACCAGTTTGTTTACAACCTAATGTTAAAATATGCCCCTAGTCTTAATAATTTGCTAGAAAAAGAAAGTAATCTACCACTCAACATTTTCGGGTCATATTTTCTTCTTTTTGATGAATTGGACATTTTCAGCCGCCATCTTGGATCTGCCATATTGGATAAAAAATATTTTAAAATGTAAAGGTGGGTTGTGACCCATCGTTTCAAAACAAACTTTTACTCTGAATTCTATGCTACAATCTTTTTTTCAAAATCTTAATCCGTTAAAAAGTTATTAGGAATATTCAAAACTAATTTGTGGATACATTTTTATATGACGCATAACATTTTTACATTAGAATTTGCCCCTAATCTCCTAAATTTGCTAAAAACACGAAGATTTTAAGAGTTAAGAATCTGATTATTGTAAGGTCAAATTGACTTTCTTTTAACGAATTATCAATTTTCGGGTAATAAAATGTATACACAAATTATTTAAAAAAATTTCTAATACTTTTTTAACGAAAAAGATTTTGAAAAACGGATTGCAGCATTGTATTTAGCGTAAAAATCGAATTTGAAACGATGGGTCACAACCTACACTTTACATTTGAAAATAATTTTTGTATCCAATATGGCGGATCCAAGATGGCGGCTAAAAATGTATACTGAGTCAAAATGAAGTACATTCTACTCTACAATGATCTGACGTGGTCCGGAGTTGATATCTTAAGAAATGTAGAAAAATTTAGGTTGGTAACTCATTTAAAACTCACCCTGTATATTTTCTCGTTGTAGCCTAAATGTATGGGCATGGGCGTTTAAATGGCATGAGTGTGTGTGCGTGTACCAGGCGTTTTTGGTGTTTAATGAAGGTATTATGTTTTACACTAAATTAGAAAACGTTGGGAACTAAGGATTTAAAGTATTTAAAAAACATTTCAACTTTGTAGCAATTTGCTATTTTCAGTTGTATTTATTTTATGGAAACGTATGGTTACTGAATTAAAATATAGGTTTGAAGGAATTGTCCTTTTTCGATCTGGCGTATGATTGCTAATGCTAGATGGATTTGCATTGAAAGGTAGATTGCCAATAATTGCTAACAGATTCGACAAAATACCCTTTTCACTAATTGACTAATATAATTTATATGCAGCTAGGGTTTGTTGATTTAGTAATCAATTGTTCCAATAACCAAATGATGAGTCGCTGACTCATACGGTAGAGTGGAGCATAGACAAAAATAATTCAATATATACCGTCAGCTGTGCTGCCGTTACCATAGGTTCTGTCGCACACTGTTCTATTTCTTATTTAAATAGAAATTAAAAGATCAAAAGAAACTAAACTGTTTTAATGAAGACACTAATACCAGACAATATTATGAAAGAAAAATAAATAAAATCATATGGTTAAATATTAATGAAATAACCATAGAGGTTAAACATCTTTCCCTTTGAGTTTCTTTTCAGAGTTTAGTCAGGAAAACGTTTCGTAGGTCTTATAATTCTGCCTCTTGATGATTGTTTTATTGCAGCTTCTTGATTGGGAGTATTGGGAGTAGTTGATCGTGAAAAAGGTTTACTTTTATCTTGAGTTATTCTAGATGGTGTAGTAGTTGTTCTTTCAGCAGTATTTGATAGGGAAGAGTTGTTTTGAGTAACAGTAGTAAATGGCAGAGGATCTGACGTTGTATCTTTGATGGATAAAGGAATAGGATTGTTCGGTTTGGTTGTATTACCTTTGTAAGGCAAAAGGTGGTGTCGATTCCTTCTCAACGTAGTGTTTCCTGTCTTAACCCAGTATGACCTTGGCTCTTGTCCTAAGCTGATAATAATACCCTCTCTTTTTAGGTCTTGGATCCATACTTTTTTACCTACAGGCAGCGATGGAAGTTCTTTTGTAGCGTAGCGCCTATCGTAGTTTCTCTTGTAAGATGCTTTGTAAGTATCTTCTTTTTCCTTTAGTTGAGAGAGATCGGGTTTGATTTCAAGTTTTTTAGGTAAAACAGGCAGGTTATCTCGCAGTGATCTGTTGTATATTAGCTGAGCAGGACTGTATCCACTTGTGGATAGAGGTGTATTGCGGTAGGTTAGGAGGGCTAAATATGGGTCGTCTTTGTTTTTCTTTAGTACACTCTTCGCTATTTTGACTGCAGCTTCAGCTGCACCGTTACTTTGGTGGTAGCTTGGACTGCTCGTCACGAGTTTAAAGTTATAGCTTTGAGCAAACTTTTTGAATTCAGAGTTTTCAAGACCAGTGTATCTGGTAGCAAACTGTGTACCACAATCAGATCGTAGCTCAATTGGTATACCGTGACGGCAGAATACAGATTTGCATTTTTCGATTATTTCAGCAGTTGACAGGTTCTTTAATGTAGCTATTTCAAAATAACGTGAAAAACAGTCAGTGATTACTACGAACCATGTTCCTTCAAGTTTAAAGAGATCAATCGCTGCCTTTTCCCAAGGACGAGATGGAAGCTCACTGGGCAAAAGGGGTTCATGATGTTGTGTTCTATGTTCAGTACATTTGGGACAATCATTAACAAATTTCTCAATGTCAAGTGACATTCCTGGCCACCACATACTATTGTTGGCTCTAAGTCGACATTTCGTTATACCTTATAGGTGGCCTGTATGTATTCTTGTCAACATTTCTTGTCTAAGAGTTGTCGGGATTATGAGACGTTCTCCTCTAAGCAATAGTCCGTCACAAAAAGAGATTTCATCCCGAACTGTGAAGTATGGCTTAAGATTATCCTAAGCCTTCAAACAGTTTGGGGTGTCTGTCATACCAGTCATTACTGGATGGCTGTATTTCGTTGATTCGAGCAAGTAACTGCAAACTTGTTATTGCAGGTTTACCTAGAAGTGGCTGGGAAGTGCCTTTAGAAACATATATAGTCTCATAACATGTTTTGTGGTTATGTGATAATTTTACAGTAGCAGTTCCTAAAATTGACAGAGCTTGACCATTTGCGCCACTAAATGTTTTGGATGTGGGAGTGAGCCTGATTTTCTTATTCAGTTTAATGTCGGAAGGCAAAATCGTTACGTCTGCTCCTGTATCAATTTTGAAAAGAACATCATCACTGTCATTCATATTTAACACTACAGACCATGGATCATCACGCAAGTTTTTTCCTACAATGCCAATGAATGTTTGAGGGTCTATGTACTGAGAGCAAACATTTTCAATGGGTGTTTCAAGGTCAGTATCATCATATTCAATTTGACTGACTTTGTTTGATTTGCAAACATTTGGAAAATGACCAACTTTTTTACAAAACCCACATTTGTATTGTTTAGCTGGACAGTTGAATCTTTTGTGTAAAACTGTCGAACCACACCAAAAACATCTCTTTTCGACATAGGGCAGGCTTTTATTGTCATTAATCCGCTTACAATTTTGATCATTGTTTGATTTATTGGGAATAATGTTTGTCTTAATTAAATGTTGAGTATTTTTATTTATTAATGCTATGTCAGTCAAGTTAAGCGTTTGTTTCTGTCTTGACAGTTCTTCAGATCTACGGATAGTGTTTATAGCTGTGTTTAGTTTT